TCATAAACTGATGTATTTCTGGAGGGGCATTCGAGGAGCGTTGGGCTCCCCAGTTCTTTTCACCCCAGGGGTACCACCCTACCAAAAAGCCCCAGGCAGGTCCATGGCGGCCCTGTGGGGTACAGAGAGCCCCTTCCCAGCACCCAAACCAGCTGGAGGAAGCCCTGCTGGGCAGTCCCCGAGCTTTTGGGGACAGGCCAAGAGACATCAAATGGTGGTGGCTGCGATTTGGAGGCAGATCAGCTGCAGCTCCCCAGCTTCTCTATCAAGGCACGGGGGAAGGAACCTGGCAGCTCCCAAGGCAGAGGGATCCCAATAACAGGGGCTACAAATAAGCGACCAGGAAACCGAAAGGGGCAAAGTTTCTCCCCAAAAACCCACACTGACACAGAGCGGAAGGAGCCCCAAAGCTGCTTGGCCAAGCCAAGTGGAGGAACTGCCTGGGCAGTCTCTCGGTGTGGCGATAAAACCCCCACGGCCGCTGCCAAATCGCACTTTCGATGGATTTTTCGAAGGCAGAGATGGACTTCTCTCTGGTTTTGAGCCAGAGATGGGAGGAAGAGGCTGCTCAACAGCTCTGGAGGGGCGAGCATGGCCCCCAAACCTGTCCAGGGACCGAGATCCGCCGGGCCTGAGCAGAGAGAGACAGACAAGCCCTCACCTCAGTGGCAACCGCACCTTTTATTGCTCAGAGCCAAGTCCAAAACACGAATTGGGTAAAGTCCAGCTTGTCCCCAGCCTCCTTAGTCCAAACATGAGGCTCCTTGGCACACCCAGCCACTTTTCTGCGCCGAGAAACACCTGTGGGTACCTGGTTTGGAGCCAGCAACGCCAGTACCAACACAGGGGGGCTGAGACCGTAGACTTCATCACACCGCTGGCTCTGAGGTGGAGAGCGCTGCAGAGCGGCTGGACCCGGCGTTCCCACGCGCTGGAGATGCAGAGAGAGATGGTACCGCACCCGTCTTGCCTCGTTAGTCGTTAGGAAGATCCAGCTCCAGCTTCCTCAGGGTTTTTTGGAAGAAGAGGGGCGGCTTGCAGACCAGGTCGAGCTGCTTGCCCAGGGGCAGGGAGAGCCGGTAGGCGTGGAGGTGGAGGGGGATGTGGCGAGCTTTGCTCTGCTTCAGCTTCAGCCTCTTCAAGGTGATTTCTGGAAGCTTCTGCAACGAGGAAACAAAACGTCCCTTCTGCAACCCCATCTCTGCAGCTGGGACTTGAAAACCCCGGCCCAGGAGGAGCTGGGGGGCACAAAGGGGTCACCGGGCCCTGGACCTGCCTTACCTGGGGTGCCAGCTTGCTCCAGTGCGAGTATTTGTGATCCCCCAGGATGGGGCACCCCAAGCCGAAGGCCAAGTGAACCCGGAGCTGGTGCTTCACTCCTAAGGAGGGAAGGGAAACGAGAAATGAGAGATTCCTGCTCCCAGGGCTGCTCTGGGCTGCAGAGCCCCGCACCAAGCAGATCCGGCAGACACCCGGCCAGGTCTCACCAGTGATGGGCTGCAGCTCCAGCAGGGAGCAGGCAGAAGCCCGAGCCAGGAGGCGGTACCGCGTCACGGCGCTTTCGGCGTTGCGGTTCTTGCGGATCTTCACCTCCTTGCCGTCCTTCGGAGACAGGCGGTAGTTGGGGGCCAGCGTCATCTGAACAACGGCGAGAGGGTGAGCAGGAGGGGGGTGCCGGGGAGGGGGGACACAAGGCCAAAACGGTGGCCCAGAGGCCGTCCCGCTCACCTTGTAGTGAGACTGGTGGCTCTGCACCTCCTTCTCCAGGATGGGGATCTCCACGATGCCCTCAGCGGGATCTGGGTCCCACAGGCTAACTGCCCTGGGGAGGGAAACCCCAAGTCTGTGGGACGTTGCTGTGGTTGGTGACCGTCCCTTCACCCCTTCCCCAAACCCTGGGGGCCCTGCAAAGCCACTTCTCCACTCAAACCCTTCCTACCAGTAGATCTTCTCCACCTGACGGGTTTTGAAGAGGAGCCGGATCTTCTCCGCCACCTCCTTGCTCCGCGCCAGCACCATCACGCCCGTGGTCTCTTTGTCCAGCCGGTGGCAGAGGTGGAGGGGTTCGGCCTTCATGTTGTCCAACATCTTGGCCAAAATGGGCAGCACGTCAGCAATGCAATTCTTGA